CCATCACCATCGTCATCATCACCATCATCATCATCATCATCATCATCATCATCATCGTCAGCGTCACCCTCATCGTCATCACCATCATCATCGTGATCGCCACCGTCACCATTACTAGCCGGCCGCTCTGCGGTTGATCGGGAGTTTCTGTATATAGAAGAAGGTGCGTGCGCTTGTTGGCGAGGGTGAGGATGAGGTTCCTCCTCCTCCTCCTCCTCCTCCTCCTCCTCCTCCTCCTCCTCCATCCTTCTCTTGCCTCCGTCTGTCCTCCTCCACCCCGCAGCTCCATCATCTTCTCCTCCTCCTCCTCCTCCTCCTCCTCCTCCTCCTCCTCCTCCTCCTCCTCCTCATTCCTCCTCTGGGCACCTCCCCCGGGGCGCGGATCCACCGGATCTGTCCGGATCTGTCCGGAAACGGTGCCGGAGGCCGCTCTGGGCTCCTCTGGGCACCTCCCCCGGGGCCGGTTTTGTGAGGATGTCTCAAGCGAGGGCGCCGGTTTGGGATTCGTCCCCGGATCCAGCGGATCCGTCCGGATCCGTCCGGAAACGGTGCCGGAGGCCGCTCTGGGCTCCTGTGGGCACCTCCCCCGGGGCCGGTTTTGCGGGGATGTCTCAGGCGAGGGCGCCGGTTTGGGATTCGCCCCCGGATCCAGCGGATCCGTCCGGATCCGTCCGGAAACGGTGCCGGAAGCCGCTCTGGGCTTCTCTGGCCACCTCCCCCGGGGCCGGATTTGCGGGGATGTCTCAGGCGAGGGCGCCGGTTTGGGATTCGTCCCCGGATCCAGCGGATCCGTCCGGATCCGTCCGGAAACGGTGCCGGAGGCCGCTCTGGGCTCCTGTGGGCACCTCCCCCGGGGCCGGTTTTGCGGGGATGTCTCAGGCGAGGGCGCCGGTTTGGGATTCGTCCCCGGATCCAGCGGATCCGTCCGGATCCGTCCGGAAACGGTGCCGGAGGCCGCTCTGGGCTCCTCTGGGCACCTCCCCCGGGGCCGGTTTTGGGGATGTCTGAGGCGAGGGCGCCGGTTTGGGATTCGTCCCCGGATCCAGCGGATCCGTCCGGATCCGTCCGGAAACGGTGCCGGAGGCCGCTCTGGGCTTCTCTGGGCACCTCCCCCGGGGCCGGTTTTGCGGGGATGTCTCAGGCGAGGGCGCCGGTTTGGGATTCGTCCCCGGATCGGATCCGTCCGGAAACGGTGCCAGAGGCCGCTCTGGGCTCCTCTGGGCACCTCCCCCGGGGCCGGTTTTGCGGGGATGTCTCAGGCGAGGGCGCCGGTTTGGGATTCGTCCCCGGATCCAGCGGATCCGTCCGGATCCGTCCGGAAACGGTGCCGGAGGCCGCTCTGGACTCGTGCTCTTCGCGCCGGGGGTGAGGATGACGTGAGTTCCACAGAAACTCCCTCAAATCATCACCATCATCACCATTGTCATAATCGTTACCACCATCATCATCGTCATCAGTATCATCACCATCATCATCATCGTCGTCACCATCATCATCATCGTGATCATCAAAATCACCACCAGCATCATCATCACCAACATCACCATCACCACCATCATCATCATCACCATCACCACCAGGGGTAAGGGGGTACGCAAGTGGATGCTAAAGCGGGTTGTATCTGGCCTCGCCGACTTTATAAATGGGCTAAACATACCCTGCGTGGAAAAAGGGTGTGACTGTCGGGAACTTTTGCTCAGCGTGTCGCGGCGTTGGCCCCTACGACACGCTGTGCTTTACAAGCTGATAGCTGATGGCGTGTCGCTCCGCCCTGCGGGGCGGGAGGATGCGCAAAGCTCCAGACGTTGGCGCCTGGGGATTGGGGCTCGTTTAGCGTGCCGCGCCGAGGCGTGGTGGGCCAGAACCAGCGGCGCGACATGCTGAACAAAAGTTGCCGACCGTAGATCACTCCGTGCCCAGACATCCTTCGATCCGGCCCAGAGTCCCAGGGACAATTTTTCGTCCCAGATCTATTATGACGGCCCCGGGGCCCGACAACGGGCACCAGTGGCTGAAATCGAGACAAACGATAGGATTGAACAAATCATAGGGCAAGTTCGTGTCGTGACGACTTCGCGGTTGGTTTGATCGGCAGCTTCCGAAACGTCAGACCGCTCAACATCGACAGATTCTGGGTCGCCGGCAACGTTCAACGTTGAACGCTGACGACGGGGTCGCCGCCGGTCGACACGGCACGAACCCACCGTAGAACACGCGCGAGGTCTGCGCGAGAACCCGCCCGCCAGGAGGCACCCGCCGCCACCCGCCGCTGCCAACGCTCGTTGCGCCGCTCGTCGCCACCGCTCGTCGCTCGTCGTCGCCCGCCGCCGCCGCTTGTCGTCGTCGCCGTCCGTCGTCGTCGTCGTCGTCGTCGTCGTCGTCGCTCGTCGCTCGTTGCTCGTCGTCGTCGTCGTCGTCGCTCGTCGCTCGTCGGTCGCTCGTTGCTCGTCGTCGTCGGCGCTCGTCGTCGCCGACGCTCGTCGTCCCTGGCCCGCGGGGCGCGCGCCCAGCGCCCAGCGCGGCTGGCGGCGGCGCGCCGCCCCACGGCCCCTGGGGCCACGCGGGGCGCGCCGCGGCGGCCAGGGGCGCCGGCCCCGCTGGCGCCGCGGGCCGCGGCGCCTTCTGCGGCTGCGCTTGGCGCCGCCGGCGGTGGCATCGTCGTCGGCATCGTTCGGCGCTCGGCGTCGGCGTCGGCGTGGGCTTCGGCGTCGGCGTCGTCATCGGCGTCAACGTCGTCGTGGTCGTCGTGGTCGTCGTGGTCGTTGTCGTCGTTGTCGTGGTCGTCGTCGTCGTGTCTGTCGGCGTCGGCGTCGGCGCCGCCAACTTCGAGGATCATTTTTCCCGTGCTACTGACTTTCTGGGTATCCGGAAGCGTCCGACGTCTTGATTTCTTGAAGCCTCTGGGCCCAATGAAATTCGATACCGAAACTTGTCAACAAGGTTTCCCTGGAAGTCCCCAGGCTGGCTCTTCATCCTAAACGGTTTTCTCACAGTCCAAAGGACTTGCGAGGTACCCCGGGAGTTAAAGATTGCCCAATCCTTTTTTCTTGATTTTTTGAATCGGTTGGAGCTTAGCAGCTACCCTGATACGCGACACAGCCCAGAGCGTGTTGTCACGAAACTCAATCATGTAGATTCAACACGTGGGTCTGCTGCGATACGTTCGCCATCACGCGGGCCAAACACTCGCTGAGCCAACACGCAACGTGTTCACCTGGGAGCTTTGAACAATGTACGCGTTGCGTTTCAGAACGGGCGTGTCTGGGTAGCTACGGTCGGGAACTTTTGCTTGGCATGTCGCGGCGGCGGCCCCGGACACTTGCGATGCCCTGCAAACGGATGGCGTGTTGCTCCGCTTCGCTGGGTGGGAAGCTTCGAAACGCTCGGCACGTGGACGCTCGGGGACTGGGACGTGGATAGCGTGTCGCGACGAAACGTAGTGGGCCGGGACTGGCGGAGCGACAGGCTAAGCCCAAAAGTTCCTGTCCGCAAGCGTTAGACGTCTGGGGGGACTTCTGGGGACATCCTCGGGCGTTGCGTCCTGGGGGGCGATCAAGGGGGGGGGGAGACACGTGCTCCTGTCGTGCCCGTCTCGGGCCTTTCAGGGGATAAAAAAAGGTGCACCTTTCTTCACCCCCCCTCGTTCCCCATTGCTCGAGAAGGGGATCGACTACAGAATCGATGCCCTGCCCGAGTTGCGCAGCGCCCGACCTTCGGTGGCCGCCGCGTCGACGACCTCTGGAGGTCGTCGCCCTTGTGGGCGGTATGCTCGCTGCCTGCTGTGCCTGCCAGGCCCCTGCCGCGGCCGAATCCCTGGGCCCAGACCTCGAGGCGCCGTCTTGAGTCCAAGCTGGACAAAAGCAGTCAACATCGAAAGGGGAAATCCGCCGACCCTGTCGGGTCGCAATCGTAGTCGTCGTCTTCGTCTCCGTCGTCTCCTCGTCGTCTCCGTTAATCGTCATGTCCGTCGTCCCCCGTCTTCTTTGCCTGGGCCCTCCTCCTTAAGCGCGCCAGCCAAACCGAATTGAGCAACGTCTTAGCCAGGCCGAAGGGAAGCCCCTTCCCTTTGATCCCGTCCCCGCCAGGGGGCGGCTGGTCCCATGGGGTATAGCCCCCCAGATGCGCATCCCCCCCAGACGGTTCCGGGGTCCAGAAAAAACCCAAGACGCAGCAAAAATGTCCCCAAAGGCCTCCAAAACGGTCCTCGAGGGCCCCGAATCGCCGAATCATGGGTCCAAGTCGCCAAAATAGCCTCCAGACGGTCCAAGAGGCCTCCAAGAGCACTCCCAAAGGGCAAACATCACAGATTCTCTTTCAGTTTCTGAACGATGTTGGCGTTCTCGACTTGTCGGCTTCCCGACGCTCCAAGACAGCCGAAGAGCCCCCCAAAATCGCTCAGGATCGCCCAAGGGGCCTCCATGAGGGCCCCAAAACGACCCAAGAGGGCCCCAACAACGCTCAAGAGGCCTTCAAGACAGCCCAAGAGGCCCCACGACGGCTCCAAGAGGGAATCCGGACGGGGGACCCGAACGGACATTTCGAGCCCTCGGCCTGAGAGGCTCCCAGAAGGCACCCAGATGCCCCCCAAAAACCCCACAAGAGGCCCCACGAAAACCCCGGGAAACCCCACGAGGCCCCCACGAGGCCCCCAAGAGCCCCCCAAGAAACCCCAAAACTACCCCCAAGAGGCCCCCCAGTGCGCTGCTCGTAGTCGTCGTCGTCGTCGTCGTCGTCGTCGTCGTCGTCGTCGTCGTCGTCGTCGTCGTCGTCGTCGTCGTCGTCGTCGTCGTCGTCGTCGTCGTCGTCGTCGTCGTCGTTCATGGTCGGTGGCTCGGGCCGTAAGGCCTCTCGCCTCCACACACATATATATATGTATATATGTTCATATATATATATATATAGACATGAATTCAATTCTATATATATATATATATATGCACAGTGTCTCTGGGTGGTCTTTCAGAAAGCGGCGGGGTGGCAAAGCCGACGCAGTATTTTGCTAAGGAACTTCGTTTTCAAACAAGGCGAAGCGTAGTTCCAACCACAGCTGATTGTCAGAGAAACTCGAAGCGCTTCGCGTGCGACCGCACACTGTTGATGCAGCTTCCCTTTTTAGAGGGTACCCCTGACCTCTGAACGAGGGTGGCAGGCGGGGTCAGGGAGGCAAGCAAAGAGGGGCGACCGCAAACGCGACCAAATGGGTAGCGACGTGTCCAAAGCCTTCATCATCTGCGGAGAACGCGTACAAACTCACATGCGAACCGTGTCTCTAGGCGGGCTTCAAGAAAGCGGTGGAGTGGCAAAGCCGACGCAAAAGCGTAGTTCCAACCGCAGCTGGTTGACAGAGAAATTCGAAGCGCTTCGCATGCGACCGAGCACTGTTGATGAAACTTCCCATGCGCATCGTTGTGGCCAGGGAGGTGGCGGGGTAGCTGGTTGGCGATTCCAAAAATTCTGGCGAAAAGGGATTCTTGAGCAGGTTGGGGAACTGACGGCCAGCAGCGATCGCTTCACGCCGTTGGCGTGCTGTCACATTGTGCAACTGCCGAAGGAGAGTGGCATGCTTCTCGCATCACCTCGCCGAGGCTGGGCACTTCCACTTGCCGCGAACCTGGATCAGCTGGAAGCTGAGAGCTTTCATGTAGGCGTCCGTCGAAGGGCCAGTGTGTCGAAAACAATGCGGCGCGATCCTAAGATCTTGAAGCTCGAGTGGCTCGAAAACCTCCTTGATGGCTTTCTCGAAAAATGGCAACGTCAGATGTCGGAAGACCCGTTCGCCGTCGTGCGCAGAGCCATAAAGAAAGACAGCCACGTCTTTCACGATGGCACGGTCGAGGATGCCGATGATCAGCGTCTCATCCTGCTCCCCCATTTTGTCTTTCCTGCCTTCGTACTCGGAGATGGGGCCAGGCCCCAGTCGACGTGACGAGATCAACGCTGCCGCATGGGAGGCAGCAGGTCCCCCCTCTTGATGTCCAGCAGGGCCCCAGGCCGCACGTGCGTATCTACCTGGGGCACGACGGCCAGCGCACGCCAGAAGTAAAAGGCCCGGTGCTTGAGCAACGACCGCCGGGCAATCAACCGGGCGGCTTCGAGCGGGCAGGGGTCGAAGGTGTCGCCGGCCCATTCCTGAGATCAGTGGCCGACTGCTGCTCGAAGACCTGTGCAGAATGAGCCATTGGCGGTGCAAGTCGATAAGAAAAACGACCGATGAGCGAACCCACCAAGAAACGCACCAGGCTCACGCTGAGCACCCGGCTGAAACAGACATGGCTAGACACCGACGAACAGAATTGCAATTGTACCGACTCCAGATGGCGAGTCAGAACACGTTCGATATGATGGCAACCTGCGTCGGCGCTCGTCTCGCACTGAGCGCTCTCAAAGTGACGCTGGCAAACCGGCTCAGAGGCCAGGGTGCTGAGGGCGACCGCGTCGCGCAACGCAGAATACAGGAAATGTAATTTGTCCTGTGGAATGACCGCGGTGCCTGGAAACCTCGGCCCAGCCGGGCGTCCTCGAGCAAAGAGGGGCGACTGCGGACGCAACCAAAATGGTTGCGACGTTTCTGAAGCCCTCATCTTCTGCGGAAAACGCGTCCAAACCCACATCTAAATTTACATGCAAGACTGCATTGGCGCTTCGCGCCATCGCGCCCTCCCTGGCAAAACAATAAATCATCGCTTGCTTCAGCGGGGGGGATCTCGAAGCCTGGACGGCGACCGGCTCATTTTTCCGATATCCCTGGTGCCTGCTGACAACGCGTTCGCCCGATGCGCTTGCGCGCTTGTGCGCAGGAGTGGGGAAGGAATAATGATTTGTTCACGCGCGAAGGTCCTTTGAAGAAGTAAGGAGAATTCCCGTGACGCGCCGAAGAAGTCGCAGTAGCTCCGAACAAATCGATTTTCGGTAGCTTCCTGAATGCCTGGGGGGCTCCAGGCACCGAGGAAATCTTCGATCGTCGGACTTCGAATCTAGATCCATTGCCTGTCTCTCTCGATCGAGGAACTTAGACCTCGAGCCTCAAGCGTGGAACCAAGATCGTCGGGTCAGCTCTATGTACTTCGTTGGAGCACGCCGTCTGGGCGTTTTTGGGGTTCTTTTGGGCCGTCCTGTGGCCCTCTTTGGCCGTCCCGGGGCCTTCTTGGGGAGCTGGGGCCTCCTAGAGGTCTTCTGAAGCCATCTAGGGCCCTCTTGGGGGCCTCCAGTGGCCTTCTTGGGGGTCTCCCATGGCTTTCGTGGGTCTCTCTTGGGAGCTTTCTGGGAGCATCTTGGGCTTCTTGCGGGCAGTCTCGGGGCTCTCTGGGGCAGTCTTGGGGCCCTCTTGGGCCGTCTTCAAATCCTCTGGGGGGCCTCTTGGGCCGTCTTGGGGCGATATCGGGGGCCCATCGGGCCGTCTTGGACGCTGCAAAGTCCCAAACAGCGGAGATGTTAATCTTATAAGTTCTCCCGAGGGAATCGGGCGATTGTTGCTTCTTCGGGGCTCTCTGAACGGCCTCTTGGGGTGTCTTGGGGGCCAATTGGGCCGTCTTCAGACCATCGAGGTTCCTCTTGGAGCGCTCTTGTGCTGTCTTGGGTCTCTTTTGTGCCTCCCCGATGACCCCTCTGATCGCCTTGAGTCTGCTCGCAAGGCCCGGCAAGGCGCCGTGGGAGGCCCAGAAGGGCCAACTGACCTTTTCCAAGGGCGTCCAGAAGGCCCGTTGAGACGTCCGAAACGGCGTCCAAGGCGTCACTGGGGGGTGGGTCCTGTTTAGGGGTGGGGGTGGGGGTTCCGGGTAATAAAAATATAAGAATAGGAATATGCCTACACTTTTATACATGTACATATATGTATATATCGGAGGTCGGGGGGGGAGATCGCAGCGGGACGGAGACCCCCAACTGGGAAATCGTTTCGATTCGTTCGTGTCGTGCGTGCGGGCGAGGCGAAGCTGCGTGGGCGCGCGAGAGGAATGAACCCGCCGATGCTAGGGCGAAGTCAAGACAAGTGATTATCCCCCTCCCGTCCGTCCGGTGGTGGCCCGCGGTGTCCCGCGGTGTCCCGTGGTGTCCCGTGGTGTCCGCCGTTGCTAGGGCGAAGAATCAAGAAAAATGATTCTCCCCCTCCCGCCCGTCCGGCGGTGGCTCGCGAAGTCCCGCGGTGTCTCGTGGTGTCCCGTGGTGTCCCGTTGAATGAGATCGATAGTGAGATCGATACTGAGACCGATGTGGTGCCCCGAGATGTCACGCGGTGTCCCAAAACATGAAATCGATAATGAGATCGATCGTGAGATCGACAAGTGTCCCGTGGTGTCCCGTTGAGTGAGATCGATAGTGAGACCGATACTGAGATCGATGTGGTGCCCCAAAGTGTCCCGTGGTGTCCCAAACAAGGAGATCGATAGCGAGATCGATAGGTGTCCCGTGGGATCTCGTGGTGTCCCGTTGATTGAGATCGATAGTGAGATCAATGTGGTGTCCCGTGGTGTCCCGTTGAATGAGATCGATAGTGAGATCGATAGAGAGACCGATAATGAGATCGAAAGGAGTCCCGCGGTGTCCCGTGGTGTCCTGTTGAATGAGATCGATAGTGAGATCGACAGTAAGATCGACAAGTTTCCCGTGGTGTCCCGTTGAGTGAGATCGATAGTGAGATCGATTGAGTCATATGTTGGTTCCCCCCTCTCCCCCCCACAACCTCCTTATCACCCGAAGGGTGGTCGTATAGGTAGCTGTATTAATACAATGAATACCTATAGACATAAAGCAAACACTGATCTGGCTAGACTTTCGTCACGCTGGGGGCCGCTGGGTCGCGAGCGCGCCTGGAGGGCCCAAGACTGCTCGTAATGGCTTCCAGGAGGGCCCCAAGTTGGGCCAAGAGGGCGACAACACGCCCACGATGGCCCCAAGTCAGTCCCAGAAGCCCCCTTTTCAACCCAAGGCACCCCAAGAGGCCTACCAAGGGAGCCACACGAGGCCAAACTCGCCACATCCCCGTTGTAAAACGTGAATTTTCAGCATCAGCAACTTCTCGCCTTCCCGACGCTACAAGACGGCCCAAGACGCCCCCCAGATCGCCCCATGACGGCCCAAGAGGCACTCAAAAGGCCCCCACGACGGCCCAAGAGGGCCCCAAGACGGCCCAAGAGGAACCCAAGACGGCCCAAGGGAGCCCAAAACGGCTCCCGAGAGGCACCAAGGACCGCCACAGAGGCCCCAAACAGGCCCCAGCTCTCCACGAGGCCCCAAAAAGAGACCAAGAGAAGCCAACACAGCCCCCAAGATGGGTCAAAGCTGCTTCCGAAAAGCACCCTGCACGCCTCTTGGGCCTCTTGGACTAATACTGCGACGGTCAAATAATCAACCAACATGTATGTATGTATGTATGTACGTATGTATGTGTATATATACACATACATACATATATATATATATACACACCGGTGTATATGTATACACACATACACTAAAACCATCGCGCGCGCTTTGCGCGCGCTCAGGTTCTAGCCCAGGCTGGGGACGGGGCGCTAAAAAGATCTTGGACAGCCCTATCAAGCACAGGCGCGTGACATAGTCGTGCCTCCTGAGGGCCTCTTGGGGACCTCTTGGATCTTCGTGAGGGCATCTGAGGGGCTTCTGGGGGTTTCTCCGTGCTTTCTCAACTGGCTGTTGGAAACGCCCTTGGGTTGGGGGGGCGTCTTGGGGCTTCTTGGAGTCCCTTGGGGGTATCGTCGGGGTCTTCGGGTAGTCGGAAGGTGATGTTCTGCAGTCTGAAGTCGTCATTGGCCGTCTTAGCTGCGTGGAGGCCCGACTTGAGGCCACCTGGGGCCACATTGAGGCAATTCGGAAGCCTCCTGGGGGCCTCCTGGAGGCAGTTTGACGCATCGAGGGCACTGTTGGGCTATCTTGGGGCCTCTTGTGCGTCTCCTAGGGGTCGTCTGGGGCCTCTCGGGAAGCTTTTGGGGGCCTCGTCGGACCACTTGGGGGCCTCTTGGGGGCTCCTGTGGGCCTGTTGGGGGGAAAGCGCTGCTGCTTGGTTCGCGTCCGCCTTCTTGGGCCTCTCTTGGGGCCGTCTTGGGGCCCGCTCTGGCCGTCTCGGGCGCCTCAAGCACCGTCTTGGGGCCCCTGTGGGCCGCCTTGGGGCCCGCTTGGAGGCCACTTCCTCTATCTTGGAGCGGTCTTGGAAGCCCCTTGGGCTGTCTTGGAGCATCGGGATGCCAAAAGGCTGAAAACTCAAAAATCCGTCAACATTCAATCGAACCACACTGATTTGTGCCCCTTGGTGCCTTCTTGGGAGGCCTCTTGGAACCTCGTCGGCTCTCTTGGGAACTTTGTGGAGGCTTCGTGGATCCTATTGGTGGCATCTTCGGGCTTCATGAGAACCTCTCGGGGTGGAACGCTCGGATTTTCGGTTCGTGTTACCCCTCTCGGGCCCCTCTTGGGGCCGCCTTGGGCGCCTCAAGCACTGTCTTGGGGACATCGTGGGCCGTCTGGGGGCCCTCTTGGAGGCCTCTTCGGCGATCTTGGAGCGGTCTTGGAGGCCTCTTTTGCCGTCTTGGAGCGTCGGGATGTTAAAAGGCTGAAGCCTCGACAATCCATCAAACACCGATGGGACAACAATGGTGTTTGCCTCTTGGAGCCTTCGTGGGAGGCCTCTTGGAACCTCTTCGGCCCACTCGGGAGCTTCTTGGGGGCCTCTTGTTTGGTTTGTTGTTTCTGTTGTTTTGTCCTCGATGCATGGAAGCACACTGTGCAGCAAGTTATGTCTGCAGTGCGAGAGGGAATGATGCCCCCTGCTTTTTGCGGGTGCATGCCGCTCTGCCCTCACAGCTTGTACAGCAAAGCTACGTGCCAGCTCGTTGCAGCACATGGCGATGATGAAAATGCAGCGGAGGCGCAATGCCGCGACCGCGAGGAGAAGAGAGGAGAGACTGGCAGAAGCCACGAGTCCGAGCCCGAGCACGTCGCTGCACAGGGCGGCCGCGCTGTTGGCACGCGTCGCCGCCTCCCTGCGGAGGGAGGCAACAACTCCGCGAACCAAGTGCGCTTCGACTCCTCCTCCTCCACCACCTCTCCACCACCTCCCCCTCCTCGCGAAAAGTGAGGCGTCACCGACTGGACGGCAGAAAAAATGAAGGGCGCGTTTTCGAGCACAGAGAGAGGCGAAACGTCACCGACCCCTTCGTCCTCATCGGACTCCCTCCTCCACCCTCCCTCATCCATCAGTGAAGATGGTGGCTGATATGAATACGTTGGTTTGGCTGCACGGCAGTATCCGCACACGGAGTCAGCGAGAGTAGTTCAACGATATTGTCTGTGAGAGTGAAACAAGCAACATCATCAAGCACATGGTGAAGCAATACACTTTCACAAAATGCCGCCAATGCTCAATGGCAAACGTTCGCAACAAACGGGTCTGCGCAAAAAGTAAGCGGTTGCCAGAAAATCCGTTGAGCCAACCCGATCCTATCGCCCCGGAGGAGCAACCAGCAACCCCATCATTGCTACGCGTTGTGTCTCGGTACCTCTCGACGCCCAATGGATTTGAACTAGCCG